CTTTTACTCGGAGAATTTGATTTTTAACCGAATGATATGACCTTATTTACAAATAAATGTGAATAGCTGTAAAAGTGATTAAAGCAGTCCTAGTGGAAATTATAAACTTAATTTCAAAATTTAATTCAAAGTAAGTTGTTAAGTGTTACACAATTGTTTCACAACTCACGTTTAAAAAATCGCATTATTCCAAAAATAAACGCTCTGTTCGTTTCAACTTTAAGTCAATAGTATATTTCCTGACAACTTGATTTATTCTGTTATTTTAATGTAAAATTCCTAATAATATTAATTAATTATTGTTGTCAACTGCTAATATATAAATTAGTTACAGTAAATATTTTAGGACTTTCTTTGCAGATGGTTATATTTATTTTCTATTAACAAGTTATAAATATTTAGTTCACAGCAATTACAAACAGAAGACATAACCTGATACCACTGAAAATAAATGATTATTTTTTTTAAGGGGATCGAACAATTTAAATATGTGAGTAAATAATAATAATGATGTAACAACTGAAATCAAGAAGTGAATTAGCATGCTGTTATGGATTACGAAATATAGTTAAATCAAAATACTTAGCAGTAAAACTACAGTTAAAAGAACTTAGTTGAAAGTACTTAGAAAAATCTTTAGTATTGTATAGAAATGAGTACTGGACAATGAATAAAGCAGATGAGGATAGAGTAACGACATTTGACCGAACGATTCTAAGAACTTTTGGAACAGTACTGGAAAATAGTGGAGAATAAGATATTATTTTGAACTAAATACCTTAGCAAAATTAATTTTAATCTTACAAGATGGTTTCGAAGGGTAAAAACACAATTCCCCCATTGAGACGAAAGGTACAATAAATGTTTTAAAAAATCTCTGTCAAGAGCCTCCCCAACCAACACCTCCTTATAGAAGGAAGCCGGGACACTGGATTGTGACGTCACGCGTAGTCGTCTATGTCGAAACCCCGAGAGAGCAACGAAACAAAACAGGCTGCGCGCTAGTGCCGTACTTAACGTTGATTTCACTATTTGATATAGATACTTGGGTGGGATTTTATTCAGAGATTCAATTATATATAATGAATAATTTAATTACTTCAAAATTTAACACAATAAAATTTGACATAAATTTAAGAATTTTTTGTTTCTTATTTCTTGACTTTAATGAATTATACTTCCTTGTAGGTTTCACAGCAGCATTTAAAAAGTTAAAAATCAGCCATACTAACTCAAAAAAGGAATTTCTGACTTTTCCCTCATAATTTAATATTGCTTTATATTTTTCTAATATTTATGAAAAAAACCCAAATTATCTGCATACAAACTATTACTTATCTCATTTCATTTTTCTTCCAATCAGTAATTTGTCTTTAAAGAAAATGGTATAAAAATGCACTAAATTTTGTCTATAATATGCTATGTGTCTTGCAAGTTTCAAATAAATTAGTATAGCAGAGGTTTGCTTAGCAAATAATTCAATGTGCAATTTAAAATTATTGCTTAAATCTGTAGAACCAATAATATTAGTTGTATATGTACTTAACTGTATTGTGTTAGTTATATAGCTGAACTTGAAAATAAAGATTCACAAGTGAAAAATAAAAAAAAATTTTATTTACAATTTTATGCAAGCAGTCAGCATAACAACACAACACCTAAGTTATAACATACAAATAAGTTAAAACCAGCTGATCTCTTTTTATCAATAAATTATTCAAACTTTCTTGTAAAAATTGAAGCAGAAATCTCATTAAGCATATTGCCATACTAAGAAATCTCATCAATTCTTATTTATTAACAGGTGTGAAAATTTCAAAACTGCTTCTATATTAATTGGGTCTCATCAGAAACAATAAGATGAGACTATGTGACCTTAATATTTAAATTTTGATACTGCAAGTTCAAGTTTCTATTCGTTAAATTTCAACCCATTTTGTCTGGCAATTACAAACACCGTTATTAACTTTTTACAACAGCCAATTAATAGTTTCAAAATGTATTACGATACTGCCATAATATGGATAAATATCGGGCAAACACTTGAGAAGACCGTCCATTACCATTTAAAACACTTCAGGTGCACAAATGATATTAAATTTTATACGATGGCTATTATTATTTATGAAGCATATAAAGATACATTCAACAGCAAATGGATGTCAGCATCACCAGTATATGTAAAAACATTTATTGATGTTGTGTAAAGGAAGTGATTATCAGTTAATGTTTCAAATATAGAAAATAATAAAAATGTTTTACCTATGCACCAGTATCCAATTTGAAAGTATCTGGTCACTACATGCAACACAATTTTGTTGTAATTTTTCCAAGCTAAAATCGTGATCTTCTAAGTTACTCGCTATCAGGCTTGTTTAATTTAAGCAAAGAATATATCAAAATGATTTGTCCAGAAAGCCACCAGTCTTAATTATGGGACACCGGTAATTTCAAAATGCACATGAAAATCACAGGTTTGTGAAATGAGTGCTCCTAATCAGAGACACCCTTTATTCAGCCAATTCCCAGAATAATAGTAGGAGTTATTACAAACCTGTTATTTTGTCGCCATGCTGAAACACATAACTGTTATCTTGATAAAGTAATTTATCATATGGTAACATGAAAATTATACTCAAATGATATAAGTAATGGCCACTTAAAGACACAACATAGACCCTTTTTTACACAACAACAAATTAAAGACAAGGAAATGAATTTTTCAATATTTTTAAGTGTAAAACAGTCAGTACATGCCCATATAAAAAATATAAATTATAATGACCCATTCTCAGTATAAAAGCAGCAGTTACCATAAACTTGTCATCTTGTAAGCATGCTGAAACACAACTTTTATCATGAGAAAGCATTTTACAGTATGTTAACACCAAATGATAACCACTTACTAAACATTAAGTGGTAGCCATTTAAATACAACCCAGATACCATTTTATGCAGCAAACACTCAACAGCACGAAAATGAATTTTTCAATATTATCATCTTTCAAGTGCTCTGAATATAAAACAGTCAGTGCATGTCCATATGAACAAAATTATAATGACCCATTCCCAGTATAATAGCAGCAGCTATTATAAACATACAATTTTCTAATCATGCTGGAAACATATAACTGTTACCTCGATAAAACATTTTACCATATGTTAACACAAAAATTATATCAAAATGATAAGAGTAGTGGCCACTTAAAACATAACCCACACACATTTTTATGCGATGACAAATTAAAGGCAAGGAAATTCCTTCTTCAATATTTCAAGTCATAGAGTGGATATATATATAAATATATTTATATACGTTTGGTGTGGCCGATTGCAACCAAAATACGAGGTGCACATATACATGTTATAGCAGTCCTATATACAAAATTTCAACGTTCTGAGGCTACTCGTTTTTGAGTTATGTGAGATATGTACGTACGCACGAACGTACGTACATACGTTCGTACAGAAGCCACGAAAAATTCTCTTCAGAATTAATTTTAGTTTAAGTTTTTTTAAGCAGTTTTATAATTTTTTTGAAGGAAAAGAGTATTTTATTCTGTCCTTACGTACAGATATGGTGCAAAAACATCGTTAAATTGCATTCGATAGCGGTCAAAATGGATATTTTCGGTGAAATATGCTGCCTGAAACTTTTCGCGATTACAATACTTCCTTTTTACTTCGTACAAGGAAGTAAAAAGGACATGCCTTCTTCAATATTTCAAGTCATCTAAATATAAAACAGTCAGTATATGTTCATATCAACAAAATTATAATGACCCATTACCAGTATAACAGTGGCAGTTATTATATACATATCATTCGGTAAGCATGCTGAAACATATCACTTTTATCAGGAGAAAGCAAAGCATTTTACCATATGTCAACACCAAACTTATACCCAAATGATAAAAGTAGTGGCCGCACTAAAACACAAACCGAGATACTTTTTTACGCGATGACAAATTAAAAAAAGGACATGCCTTCTTCAATATTTCAAGTCATCTAAATATAAAACAGTCAGTATATGTTCATATCAACAAAATTATAATGACCCATTACCAGTATAACAGTGGCAGTTATTATATACATATCATTCGGTAAGCATGCTGAAACATAACTTTTATCAGGAGAAAGCATTTTACCATATGTCAACACCAAACTTATACCCAAATGATAAAAGTAGTGGCTGCGCTAAAACACAAACCGAGACACCTTTTTACGCAATGACAATTTAAAGGCAAGGAAATGCCTTCTTCAATATTTCAAGTCATCTGAATGTTAAACAGTCAGTATCTGTCCATATCAACAAAAGTATAATGACCCATTACCAGTATAACAGTGGCAGTTATTATATACATATCATTTTGTACCCATGCTGAAACATATCACTTTTATCAGGAGAAAGCATTTTACCATATGTTAACACCAAACTTATATCCAAATGATAAAAGTAGTGGCCGCACTAAAACACAAACCGAGACACTTTTTTACGCGATGAGAAATTAAAAAAAGGACATGCCTTCTTCAATATTTCAAGTCATCTGAATGTAAAACAGTCAATATCTGTCCATATCAACAAAAGTATAATGACCCATTACCAGTATAACAGTGGCAGTTATTATATACATAACATTTTGTAAGCATTTTGAAACATATAACTGTTACTTTGATAAAGTATTTTATCATGTTAACACCAAAATTATACCCAAATGATAAAAGTAGTGGCCACATAAAAACATAACGCAGACACTTTTTTACACAACAAATTAAGGGCAAGGAAATGAATTTTTCAATATTTCAAGTCAATTATAATGATAAAGAATCTTACCATATGTTAACACTAATTTGATATCCACATTAATAATAAGGACCACTTAAAATACAACCCAGACACTTATTTACATAGATGCATAGAAATGAATTTTTCGTTACTATTACTTTTCAAGTGATCTCAAGGTTAAACAGACAGCATACATGAGTAGAAAAAAAAAAAAAATAAGGAATTCACAATAATGTGTAACAGTAACTGTTAGATGCGAAAATATTTTTTCAACAGAAATAAATCTGAACTAACATCACTAGGCTTTGCTCAATTAATTTTTTGTGTCTTGTTACATGCATTAAAGTTACTAAACTTACTAGTCTATGAAATACAGCATCATTTGAATTAAAACCTACATTTTTTAAATGTTTAATTGCTAAACACCCATTATATTTTTATTTATGCTTTAAAGTTTTCAATTTGCGCTCTTTTGCAATGCTTTTCTGGTTTAGTGTATCATTCTTTAATTTGCAATAATTATTTAAAAATGTGTTCGTTGATGACCAAAGAATCTGCTTTAACACTTTCTGTGACTCATGAGCTTTAGGGCAATCATCTAGATTTAAAAAAATGTCATTTTCTATCAGTATGTCTAGAGTTAAGTTACATGCTATATCCCTCTGATTTGCAGAAAATAAAAATTCATTCTCAAATTCTTCAGATACAAGTTTTTGAATAACAACATAATTATATATTACTGAATTTAGTACATCAGGATGAGGATATAGAAGTCCTCTATCAAATCTTTTTATCCAAGACTGTCCTTCATTTTCTACAATTAATTCTTTATCAATAGTTAGATTGCCTTTACAAATATCACAGCTTAATAGTTTCACAACTTTATAACTACAGTAACCAGCTATATACATTAAAATTGGTATGTCATTTTGAACATTTTGTATATCTTCATTTGTAATAGTTATTCTTCCTGAGAAAGTGCATCCAATATTTTCTTGCTCCAGAGATTCAATACACAGGTTTTTACAATTTAGATAAATAGGAATTCCTCCATACTTTGATGATTTAATAACAGTTGGCAGAAGACTTTGTAATCTTAATTTTGCTTCAGTTTCATATACTTGCCTTATAGAAATATTATGTTGTGAACCAGCCAGCTGTCTATATTTTCCGAATCTATTCTCTAGGAGATCTGTCTGAACTTTTCCTGGTAAAAAGTAAGTAAATTTTAGCTCCTCAATGCAATACCTTGCCATTTCGAGCAACGAATAGCTAGTATGTGTTAATGCAAAATGTGTTTCCTTAGTTAGTCCACCACTAGAACAGCCTAAAAGTTTCCACTGATCTAACCACTCAAGTAACTTATTTAAATAAATATATCTAACATCATCATTTTGCACAGTTAACGGCTTTTGATACTCATTCATCTTATGGTGTCCTTTAAAGATACTTTTGACATTGACTATTGACCACCATGTAGATATAATTTTAATAAATTCAGCTGTTGTTTCGTAATTTAAAATACTATTTTCTTTACCAATAACCATTATTGCCTCTGCAAGACGACTGTCAAATATTTGTAATGCTAGCTTGACATTTTGTCTTTCCAAATTGGTTGGATACAGAGCTTTCAGAGTCAAACCATAACTATATTTTACAATTCTGCCTGCCTCTAATGAATGGAGACTTTTTATGCATGCAAATGCCGCTGTTTCGACCTTGGAAAAATTTTCAAAATTTGGATAAAATAAACATTGCCCAGAAGTTTTTTGATTTATCCAGTTGTTCCTGACACACTTCAAGATGTGCACTGAGTCAATAACAAAAAATAGTGGCCGAGATAAGTCTGCAGGGTTTTTATACACAATACTAATTTTTGGAGGCATACAAAATAATGACATGGCTTTTTTATTTATTGAATTATTGTCAGAGACAACTGCCACAATTCTATAACCTATATTTTCTAAACCAATTATAATTTTCTTAAGATATTGATACAGATCCTCAGCATTTAATGATTTAACTGGTAATATATGTGCCACATCCTTGAAAGGTGATAATAAGCTACGTATCATAAAAACATAAGCACTTGTAGCAGCTTTTTCACAGTTGTAGGCCATGCCACACAAATTTCCTCCTTTAAAATCGAAACATGAATTTAAATGCACTTCATCCATCATAATAATTACAGTTTTATCATTTTCTTCTAAATCCTTGCATCTTTGTTTAACATATCCTAAAAAGTCATCATTAAATTGCTCAGTAATAGGATTAAGAGAAAACATTGAACAAATTCTACGAATAGTACGTGGATGGGGAATAGAAATGTAACCTGAATGTCGTAAAAACTTGTATGCATGCGGTGAGATCGAGTTTAACAAACTGCAAAAAATAAGTAAATCTGGAGTATATCGATACTTCTCTTTCTTTACATTTAGTTTATTTACTTGCTCTGAAAGGAAGTTCAGTTCAGTTTCTTTTTCAGGTAACACTCTTTTCAATTCTGAAAGCATATCATCCACAATTTGTATAGAATTCTTAATATATTCTTCATTTTGTAAGTTATGAGACAGACTTTCAACTTCCTTTAGTACTTCTAGAAACATATTTACATTACTAATTTTTAGAGGGAAAACAAATTTACCAATAGATTTTATAGCGATGTTTTTAATATAAACACATACTGTTAAATCCTCATTTATTACTACCGATTTCTGAATTTCTGGAGCTGGGTCACTTAAAATATCAAGTAACATAGTTGAATTTTCAGTATGTACAGTTGTCCAAAATGTTTCTAAAATCTGATGTTCTAGGCAATTATTGAATTCAATTAAACTTTCAAATGATCGTTCATTATCATACCGTTCTTTCATTTTCAAACTTTCTTCTATCGCTTTCTCCAGGTATTTCTCTTCTAAACGAGCTTTCTTCTTTTTTCTGGTGACATTCTCGATACAGAATTTGATGACATGTAGGATGGGCCATCAGGGAACTGAGAAGGTATGCATCCTTTTTTCAAACGTGGCCTAGAAATTGGGGCTTTAATTAACTTCGCTGATTTCTCATCATACATTTCGATTTCTCGTATTATTTCATCTGATCGAAAATGTAATTCACATACCTATAAAAGAAAATATTCAAAAATCAACTTGTTGTGAGTACAAAAGTTAGATGCATGTTAATATTTAGTAACAGAAGTCAATAAGCCCTATGATTTAAATAAATAATTTGATACATAAATACGAATTAAAAAACCAGTAATATCATTTCAATTACGTGTATAATTTAAGTAATTTGTAAAATCTGGAATGCTCATCATAATGATTACAGCTTTATTTACATTTAAAGAAAATTATATATTTTGAGATAATTGTTTACAACAAACACTGGTTACCAAATACAAATAATTACCTTGAATACATCATACCAAACTTTCATATATCATTACAAAAATTTTAAAATGAAACCTATTATGATTACTTAGTAGTTCCTTGTCATATAAATTATGATAAATTTGGAATAACTACAGAATCTGCCTGCACAGTATACTAGAAAGCATTTACAAATTATTGGCATTTATGTAACTACTAAATTTAGAATTATTCCTGTTATATGGAACTTTATTTCATTCATAAAACTTTGAAGGAAAATATTTTTTTGAAATGATTAAAACAGGCAAGATTAAAATCTTTCAAACATAAAACTTCTTACCCACAGATCAAAATCTAATATCGTAAGCATAAACATCACATACCTATCAATAAAAGTAATAAAAAAATGTAAAGATACAAAACATAAAAAATGCAGTAAAATTGAACTTACTCTGGTATGTTTAGTAGGTTGAAAGCCATCTTTTCTTCGTAGACTCCTTATCCATTTCATCCGGAGTTCAGTCTCATTTGGAAACTTGAATACAGCCACTTTTGGTCCGTTTTTATAATTACCACGACATGTGGCTACAGCACATTTATGAGGCATCGTATGAAATTATAAAAGCACGAGACAATATATAAAAAAAGCACGAGACAATATAAAAACTCTGTCGCTAACGCAAATAACCGCTCCACGTTCGTCGCTCTTGGCTCAACTACGGGGCTTTGATTTTGTTTGAAGGAGCGAGGTGAGTCAGAGACGACTACCTGTGACGTCAGAGCTTCCCCTCGCTTCAGTGTCCCGGCTTCCTTCTATAAGGAGGTGGACAAGCCTTATGACGCTTGGGGTGAGAGTCAACCAGGCACGTGGTCTTGTCTTATTTAGCCTACCAAATTGAGTTTCCTCTTATGAGCGGAAATAAATTTACTTTGGCAATTGGAGTATTCACAAGATATAAGATACAGTCTGGCCGCGATGTGTAACGGCAATTACACATCTGGACCTAAAGTGCACATTTTCGCTTTTCGTAATGATGCCGATTTGAAAGAAAAGTGGATGCGTGCAATAAAGCGAAAGGACTTCATTCCAACTAAAAAAGCAGGGTGAGCTTTTATTCTTATGATTTCATTGATATTCAAAGAAAAATTATATAAATTAAATATTCAATATGTTTAATATGTCTGTTTTTAAAGCCAAAATCATTTCCAATGAAAAAAACTAGTGTTAAATATAATAGTAAAACAATAACTAGTGTAAATATAAAAGTATACAATAAATCATTGCTAATGTAAATAAGCAGTATAATAAGCTTTTGTTTCCTGCAATTTGTCTTAAAGTGAATTCTATATTTTTTTTAATAAATGCATGTTGCTTCATAAATTGCATGTGAATATTTTAATGGGTAATTAAGTTCATAATACTATAGTATTATTTAATGTATAATAAATTTTACTTCATATACTGCAGATTAAATATTCAGTAGAAAATTTAGTACTTAATATAAAGCGATAATCGGGAAAATATACAAAATCTGGAACTTAAAATAGCATTTGTAATATCTAATTTATCTCGACTTTTATTTTAAAGCCACTTGTCATTGTAAGTTTTAGAGATATGAAAGTAATAATGTTTTTCATTTAAAAATTCAAATTTGTGTCCTTATAATATTTTAAGGGAACACATTACCCTTTCAACTCTTTTTTTGTCACATTTTCAAGTTTATTCTGAAAATTGTAATTAACATTATATCTAAAAAAAATTATAAAAAAAACTTGGAAAAATATATTGTTAAACCAGTTGTTTATAAAACATAGAACTATTTTTTAAAAAATTTCATTTTTATAAATTTGTTATTACGTTTTTTATATTAATAATAATTTAAAATAGATTTTTGGTTTTTTGATTCTATAAGAATTCTATTTGATTCTATTCTATAAGAATATTGCTCACTGTAAGTTTAATAATTATTTTTATGAACAGGATTTTTTCAGTAACACCATTTTAAAATAATGCTGGCATTAAAAATTATCATAAAAAATTACATTTTAAATTATTTATACCAATAAATAAATGATGAACTATGTCTTTTTTAATATTTAGTTTATTGTAAAAGACCTTTTTTACACTAGATTTTGTTTTAAAAAAATAAATGTAATAACCGAAAATCTTTTATCTTATCGCCATACTGAACAAAATTATGTACTACTTAGAAAAGGCTGTAAAGAAAAATCGGGTTCTTGTAAAATGCTCTCTTTATTCATAGTTTTCATTTTTATCTATAAATGAAAAATAATGTGCAGTATTTTCAGTTCGAAAGCATAACATTTTTGCGTTATAGCGTTTAAGTGTTGAAAAGTTTATCCAAACTATAGAAGGTAAAATGGGATTGAAATAAATAATTATTGATCACCCAGGTGAAAATTTTTATCAAGCATTAAGAAAAATAAGTTCAGATACCTGAAGTCTTAAAGCATGATATTTAATAAATGCTAAGATAGTATCACTTATTTAATATTTCCTGTTTACTTTACATCGGAATAACATAAAATTAGCTTTTACTAATAAATAAGCGCGCTTTGAGTTCGCTCGCTTTCAGTGTAGGAGAAAGGTTTCTTCGCACTCCATACGGTGACGTCACGAGAGAGCTGGACGGCCTTGTTTCTCGAAGCCACGCTTTGACCACGCCGAGCTCCTTGGAGTAAACACGCTGCGCGTGAATCTGCGCAAACGATCAGGGAGGAATCAGGAGGAAACTAGCATCTGAGGGGCTAGACGCTTGTGAAATGTGTCGCCATCATATGCAAATGTGGCGGTATTAAGAATTGTTTACCAGCTGCTGCGGGCTATAATTCTGCGTGTTTATGTTTCTGTAAAAGTGCTTAGAAACGTTTAATTCGTCGTAAACGTAATATTATGTTTTCGGAATAATCTTTACTTGAAGTGTATATAATTTAGAACTGAGGATTTTAAAAATTTGAGAATTTTTACTTGGGTACACTTCGGTAAGTAAAAAATCCGAAGTGAAAAATAACAGTGTTTGTCATTTAAATTAATTTAGAGTGATAATAAGTTATATTCGAATCAGTATATCTTTCGAGAAACATGCATCGGTGCTTGACGTTAGTAAAGTGTGAATTCCTAATTATTATGTTTGCTAATTAGTCGTATTTTAATGCATGACATGGTTGCCTTTCTGACTAAATTAGTCTGTTTAGTTACATTCTTATGACCTTGAACTATTTCGCTTCCTTTAATTTATAACAAAAATCTGACATTGCAACGCTTTAGATTAATTTTAATAATAATTAATCTTCATCTATAGTTATTGGTTTAATCCTAGTATCCGGTGCACAAGGGATTTGGCGACGACTTTATAATGAGCAGTAAACGGGACATATACGATGAGTATTTAAACGGGTCATTTTGGTGTTGGCGATAATTTTCAAAATCGCACCAAGGATGCACCGTATACTAGATATTTTTCATTTGGTATTTTATTTTGTGTAAATTAATAAATTTTTATTAATTAATTATTGCAAAACATTTTTAGAAAGTATTGTCATTAAAGTCATAAATATCACCATACAAAGATTATTAATCTGTGTTTTGTAAATCCTTCGAAATGCTTATATAGGGTACATATGCTGGCTTACGTGCTGGTATCAGGTATATGCATTCATCAGGTACTTAATTCGTATTCTTAGGGTAAAGTATATGTGTATTTAACACACTTACACTATTGATTTTTTCTCTCCACGGTAGTTTTCATGACCTTTGAAATGAGGTCACTCACCGCTAAAGATTGTCATTTTGTATCATTGTTACTTCAGTGTTAAAGCAGCCATTTTGTGACATTTGAAATTTGCATTTAAAAACTGAGCAATTGAGTTTGCCTGTTTTGTTGACTAAATGCAGTAGCCGCTTTAGGCAAGAAAGTCTTGATCAGTTCGATATTCATATGACTTGATTTTCGATATTCATATGACTTGATTTGCAATATTTATGGATTTGTCAAAAGATAACTTAGGTTGAGTATTGAAGTTCCAATATATTATATACATATTCAGAAATTAAATGATACAGCTGTCTTGAAATTGTAAAGTAAATTATACGAGGGTCACTCTGGAATTTTTGAGATACACATAGGTTTTTAAAGTTATATTTAAGAAATTTTAGGAGTGTTCAAAGTAGTCTTCTTCAGTGTCTGTTAACTTCTGTAGGTGTTTCCAAAGATTAAATCCCTCAAGCCATTGGTTTCTTGCAATCGATGAAAAAAATGCATTTATAGCCTCATCAGTCTCATCTTCATATTGAAAGCGACCTTCACACAAGTTCTTTTTTAAATTAAAAAACAGCCAAAAGTTACTTATAGCTGGATCTGGTGAATAGGATGGATGTTATTTCACTTTGATGTGTTTTTGTTAAAAAAATTCAACTGCTTTACATTTCTTTCAATGTAAGTTATTTAAAGTTGCTTCGTTTTTGTGCTAATACTATCTCTTTAATTCTGTAGACAGACATAATCTTGAAGTCCTGTAACTGCTGTTTCGAGAATTCCGACTAATTGTCAATCGAAATTTTCTCGTTTTCTGTAACTTCTCTGTCACTTTCTTCACTATTGGTAGTGGTATTTTCGGTTTAATCCTAGTATCCGGTGCACACGGGATTTGGCTACTTTATGATGAGCAGTAAAAACGGGACATATACGATGAGCAGTAAACGGGTCATTCAAAGAATATATATAGTATATACATAATATATACTATTTGGTGAGAATATATATAGTATATATTATGTATATACACACATAGTATATAGTGTATAGTATATAGACGAGCTTTAGTGTAGAATTGGGTGCCCCTTCGATTGGCGACATTTTTTTAAAAATTTTCGCGATGAAACCTCACTTCTGGTTACCACGATAGTTTTAACTTTGTTTTAGCTTCCCGATTTTATTTAAATGAAAATAGATTGATGTGTACATGGACATATTTAAGGCAGTGCGCAATGCCTAGTTTGTGCAATTCTAGGATGTTTTTTCAAGTAAAAACAGATCGATGTGTACATGGACACAGATCTTATGCAATTCTTCGACTTCTTATTTTGGTTTTGTGTAGTGGCCATCTTGAAATTGTGACTTCCTGATTCCGATCGTGGCGTCAAAAAAGAATTGCCAATAAACAAGGGGCACCCAGTTGTAACTTTTACCTATAGACATTCTTTGGATCATTTTTTGGTGTTGGCGATAATTTTCAAAATCACTTTCTTCAGTGCCAAGGCTGCACCGTATACTAGGATTTTACCGTATTTTCTGGATTTAGAACCATACTACAGATTTTGCCATTCATTAATTTATTGATGATTGAGAAGCATTGTCATCACAATGAAAAACTTCTCATCCTCATTTATTACCGCTTCTCCACATTTCTTTACAAAAAATCCATTAATTAGAAAATTTTACCTTTGTTTTGCAATATCCGAAAACCTTTAAAATTAATGGCTGTCATCATCGAATTTAGCTATCCTTCACTATTACATATTTGACTATGCATCATGAGCTTGGCGACTGACAACAAGTTGTCCCGTTAAATTTTATCTCGCTTCTATCTTGCACTGTGACAATTAAGCCTGAATTGTATTAGTTTAGTTATTTATTATACTTATGTCTATTTCTTGTACATGCTTAAGCCTTATCAGAGTTCTGAAGAAATAAATTTCGACATATACTTAAGCCTTATTGAGGGCTGGCGCTAGGTATCTTCTCGCCTGATGCAGTCTTTGTGGGTCCTAAATACTACGAATTGGTGTGGCCATACGAGCCTTGGCACTGGTTCTGGATTTATGTGAATAACAAATCAGTTATTCTTAATTAAAATAGCCCTAAATATAATTGTTGGGTCTATGAGTATCGTTAACAAAATCTATTTTTAACATATGGAAAGATACTTTTGATAAATTTTTCCATGTCAACACTTTTTAGCACATTTAACTTAAATCTGTAATCATCGCCAAGCGTAATATCAACATAAAACAATACCATACTCCATTATTGTTCAATTACTAACATAAAAAAACTACATGAGTCATTACTAAAGTTGTCATGTTTTGTTAAACATGCGGTGATGAAAGGAAAGTATAATAAATAATGATTTGCCAGGTTGGTGTCGGATTGACGATGTATCTATGCAGAATGTTTCGGTTTGAGATATGTGCCAAGCAGATACGCAGCAATGGAGGCAAATTACTGATCATACAAATTTATGCTAAAATGATTGTTCTTCAAAAACAAGGTATCTATTTAGTGTCGAAGTGAAATTAAGAATTGGGACTCTCCAGATGTTTTATTATGCGCGGAAGGGGGAATCAAACGCACATGCGTAAAGCCTACAAGAAAAAACGTTATTGGTGGTTTTGAGGTCTGGATTTTAGATCATTCCGGATAATGGATGTCCGGATTTTAGACTTTATACTGTATTAAAGTTGTTGCAGTTAAAAAGCTCATAGTTGGATCACAGTTTCAGATGTTTGGCTGCCCACTGGTGGTTCCTGTCTATTCTGAACAGCCAATTGGTATCCTTTGATGATCTTCACTGAATGGGGGCAAATTGAGTGGCTAGCAAATCTATTTTGAAAAATGAATTGAATGAAATGAAATTTTTGTGCTCAAAGAAGCCATGTTATAATGAAGTAGGATATTATGATACATGGAATAATAGAATAGGACCTCGGTTCTGTTTTGTTGTTTTTTGGAATTCGAGATAATGATTAAGAGGGACAGATATAGGCATTCATATTGCAATGCCGGAGATTAATTTTTTTATTTTTAATATCGGAAACATTATTAGGGGAGTCTCAAACATTTTACATCAAATTTGTATTATGTAACTACAGCGAATATATTATCTCATCGCCTTGACACATATTGCTTCTATACGAAACTTGCTATATTTAATACATCTTGATTGTAGCTTTTACTTAACCCATTCTCTTAGATCATTGTTATTCAAAAGAAGATTATTTTATCTTTCAGATTTAATCAACCTGTAACTGCTCAAAAATCTGAGCGATTTAAAAACAATAAATGCATTTCATAATTTAAATTTTTATTTTATTTCTTAATAATTAATTTAATCATTGTAAATTAAAATGCATGCAGCATTATGCGATTACTAAAAGGTATTTGTAATGCCATGCATCACATACTTAACACCAACTCTTTTGCTCTTTTAAGCCACATTTTCTGCTGTAGACTTTACATACTGTTTTAAATAGTACTCGTTAAAGTCTGTTATTTGGTCAAACTTCCCCAGTATTTTAAAATATCTGAAAAGCACAAATTTGAGGGCTTGAGAATATGACATTCCGTATTGCTGAATTCCTTGACATGTTACCATAAAAGGCAGTGAATTTGCAAACATCAGTAAAGGAAACTGTGAAAATATCAAGCTGACCTTTTTTTTTTTTTTTCAGACATAAAAACTATTACCAAGCAGAAAAATCTTTAAAAAATGACAAAATATCTGAGACACATAAGCTAATAATAAGTTACAGAGAATGGAATCAGCAGTAGAGTGTCAAATTTGCAGAAACAGGAAATTTCTTTCAGCTCTTCTAAAAATAGGTTCACTCTATTATGCACGAGTATTTGTTAAAGCCCGAAAGTAATCCTCCTAATTGTAATTTCTGCTATCAGTGCAACATATTATAGGCAGGTGTCCAAATTTTAACTGTCTGTCAAAAATATTTTAATACTTTTCAGTATTTTCATGTTTTACATATTTATTTTAAATAAAATGGGTTTTGTCCTTTGTTTTAACATGCCATATATTTTAATATAATGATATTTTTATTATGCTTTTATAATTATCGAATTATTTCATTAATATATTTATGTCATTTGGGTACTTTTATGTTTTTTCAATTTTTTTTATTCATACGCATATGGCTTAGTAACCTCTAAGCATATATCATATTATAATCTTTTTTTTGTCTCTTCGTATATGCACACCTAATACTGTTCCAAAATGAATTGGATTTAATATAAATTCAAAATAATTAATTAATTATCTTTTTATGTATATCATATTGATTTAATATGAGCAGGCCCAGCAAATTTCTAATACTATTTTATTTTCCTAAAAAAAATTATTTGTGGTATAGTAGTACATACATGTACAAGTATATTGCATAGCAGCAAGTGGAGGAGTATGAAGTGCCTCCCCATAATGAGTAGTAAATCATGTGACCAAATATGTTAATTATTTCTTTTGTTTCGAAGTTATGTATATTTAGAGTTTGGAATTAGAATCGATGTTTTTTATCTTCGGAAGAACATTTAACATCTGCCTGCATTTCAAAGTGTAAATCACTAATGAAACCTGGGCACATATATTGATGTTCTCAAAAGTTAATAAGTATACATTTTTTCATTCTTTTCATAATAATAATAACTAAGATATTTTTAGTAGCCCTTATATAATAATGTCTTATAATTCATATTTCAATAATTGTATGTCTTGTAATTCATTTATACATAAATGAAAAGGAGAGCAGTTTCTTTGGAACGTAATATGCAAATTTTAGATCAAACAAGTTGCTACATTTGTAGGAAGCATTTAATTACTAAATATGTAAAACCACTGAAACATTAACACCAGAGGAAAGCTGTGATGATTTTGCTCAAGAGAAAAAATTTCATTGATAGAGGAACTGGTGATAATAGTGATAATCCATATATTTGAAAATCTATGTGATGTTTATTATCAGAAAGTGAAAATGAATAACTGTTATATGTAAGACTGACTTTTTTGAGAGATGAAGCATGATGACTTTTTTTTTTTTTTTTTTTTTTAATTTCAAATGCAAATTTACTTTAATACATTTTCATACATTTGTATAGTTTACTGAAATAAATATTTTGAGATTTTGGTTCTCTTCTGTTATCAGGACTGGATTCAGGAATGTATGTATATATGCGTCTGTGTGCATATATGTGTGCACACATTTGTACATGCATACATGAACACATACATTCATATACACATGCATACATGTTTCTGAATTTGGCCTCAATAACGGAAGAGTACCAAGAATTTTTTAAAATTATATTTGTTGACTTTTTAGATCCAAAACCGATCTTTTCTTGCATGGATACAATTGGTAAAAGTATAGTTTAGGGTACCCCTTGGCGATTTTTAGCGGTACATGGATACTGAATTTGTGCAATTCTTTGACTAATCGCCGCTACACAAAGCCAAAATAACAAGACAAACAGTTGCACAAACTCAGTATCCATGCACACATCAACTTATTTTCACTTAACCTCCCCCTGGAATTGCACAAAAATGGCATTGCGCACTCTTCTAACTTTATCCATGTACACGCCGACCTATTTTCACTTAATAAAAATCCCAGAATTGCACAAACTTGCATTGCGCACTCTCTTTACTTTGTCCATGTACACATCGATATATTTTCACTTAAAATGTCTAAGGAGAACCAAATTCTGCAATATAGGCAAACAAAAAATACATAATCTCAATAAAATACATTTTAAACCAAACAATAAAATAACATAAAAAAAGAAAAACATGTTATACATTTAAGCACTACCAAAAGCAAATATTCACTTACCATGATTTTCGAGTTCGCTTAGTACACGCAGAGCCACGTAAAAATCAAAATATCAATCATACTCAAATGACTTTTTTCAAACCAGGTACTCTTTCTGATCGAACGCTTCACATAGTGACCATCTGAACCATTCCTACAAACGCATTCAAATCCATCTAAACAGTTTTAACACACACCACAAAAACGCTTACAAAACATCCCATGATTCAAAATTTCCCAGAATTATGCACCTGATTATGTCACAATAGGGTTTCCATAACATTCACTACTCAGGCTACCATAAGTGAAACAGCAACTTGGGGATAAATCAAACAACAACTTCGCCATAATACAAGGAGTACCTTAAAGTCTACTCTACCCTTCTTTTTTTTACGCAGTGTTAGGAACATATCTGTCATATAAAAACAGAATTAGAAGTTGTGTCTATTGGTGTCATAATTCTAAACAAGGCTAGAAAATTTTCCCTGCTTCCCTTCTTGATTAATGTTACTTTGTACAATACTATTTTTTTTGGTATGACAACATTTCTGGCATATTCAAATTTATATTTTGTATTTGCAAATGCAGTATTTTCTCTATTGCTAGACGTATGGATTTCATTGCGCTTATTTTGACTTTTAACTTTGTATGTCTGTTTTAATTACCTGCGTACAACTATAGTTTGTGTAAATTTAGCCTTAACCTATGTGACTTTTGCTTATGCAGATGCATGAAGGGTGAGTATGACATTTTGAAAATATTCAGAGAAATAACCTTCAGGCAAAACAGACCATGTTGTACATCAGAATCACAGATTCTGATAAACTCATCATTTATTAGAGGTAAGCTGTAGATAATATTTAAGTTTTTTTTTTCTAATATTGATTGCAATTATTGTAGAAAATGAGTTTCAAAGTTAAAACTGAAGTGCTTTAAATCCAATTACAATTCATAAAATATATTTATAAAAAAGCCATATTAAGTGTTTTTGTTTGATATGGCTTTAGAACAAATTCAGAAATGTGCCATTGGGCCTTTGTGTCAATAAATTATGAGATATTTTGATTTAAGTAACAAAATGCAGAAATACTTTGATTGTCACAGTTATTGTTGCCTTAGAAAATGTAGCAATATTTGAGTCTGTGATAATGTATGTGAAATGAATGATCTCTGCCTAGAATTTTTTGCATCTAAAATTTTCCATCTTTTTTGGAACTCTGTTAATGTTGAGATAAAAAATAAATATCTTAAATGTGTTATGTAAAAAATTAAAGTTTATAAAAAATAATATTCTTTATTCTTTGTATGTATATAAAAAGTACACATGCATTCTTTTGGGGATAAAAATTTATATAAAGCTAGAATTTTTTCTTCATACAAACTCAATAGCAATGGATGAATTCATTCATCATTCAAGATTTTAGTTGTTCTTAATATTTTGTCCACTTTTTTTAGGGTAAATTTTCTCAGTGCCATGTCAGTATATTCCTTGTTATCTTCAATTTAAACTTCGTAAGAATGTGTTTTTTCAAATTCTTTTCACTTTTCATTAATATTGTGATACAAACTGAAAATTGATACTCGGTCTGCTTTCAAACGTGAAATCAAAGGAAAAAACCTTTTCGGATTGTCTATCTTATAGTAAGATATTTTCCCTTGAAGTCAATCTGTAAGTGTGAACTAGAAATTTTCAGAACAGTTGAGCAACTTTAATTGCTCAGCCATCGCAGTGCTAGTCTGGTATATAAATTAAATTAACTAAACAAGAAACGTATATTAATTTCAATCTTCTGTATATTTAATTTAATTCAGTCTTGTCAGCATTGGCTACTGAAGGTCAAATGTCTTTAAAAAAGGTGACGTCCATTTTCAGTCAGTGGGAGATCAGCTGTCAGCAAAGGAAAATGGTGTTTTTTTAGCTGAAAATTCTCCCCTCTTCCCTTCCCTGAAACAGGTGCAAGTAACCAAACATGTAGCAATTTCAGCCTGGCGTAGGGCTTTCCTCTTCTTCATGTTAAGCCAAATGTCCTCATATGCCAAATATCACTAAATGTCTGATTTCTTCAGTTTGATTGCACATTTGGCAATAACTTGCTAAGTTTGGCATATTGATTGACAATATTTCTTTCTTTAATGCAGAAGTTGATCTATCTTTTCATTTTGTCTTAAAATTGCTTAAAAATGGTGAAATATTCATGCAAGTTTAATCATTTGAACATGTTTTAAATTAATTATAATTTAAATGGTACTCTTCTGCTATTGAGACCAGATACAGAAATGTATGTATGCATGTGTGTATTTGTAGGTGTGCATATATATGTGTGTGTATGCACATACATATGTTCATACATATATTATACATGCATGAATGAACATGTACATCCATATACAGTACAAAGTCTTTTATCTGGACTCGTCGGGACTTCGGCGATTCCAGATTAGGGGTTTTTCCAGATTATAGATCATCAATTTAAATCTGGTAAGATGGCATGCAGAAATTATAAAATTAAAAATATGAAACCGTAATTTATGAAATAAAGAGCAGTTATGTTGTAAAGGGTATCAAAATTTACAAAAAAAAAAAAAAAAAAAAAAAAAGCTTAATACTTATTTGTTTAATTTATTAAACATTTCTTTCAATGTAAGTTGTTTAAGTTGCTTTGTTTTATGTGCTAATACTCTCTCTTTAATTCTATAAACAGACATAATTTCTTGTTCAGTTATAAAGTTCCGCTGTTCTAGTCCTGTAATTGCTGTGCTGAGAATACAGACTAACTTGTCAGTAGAAATTTTTTCATTTTCACTCACCTCTCTGTCACTTTCTTCATACCTTTATCCATTTTTTGCAGCAATTCCAATTTTTGTTTGATGGACATCAAAATATTCTTTAGTTTTGTAGATCCTTTGGCAACTCCAGAATCGGAAACTCTTTTTGACATAATCGAAAGTTCAAGCTACTTTTTATAAAATTGCTCTAACAGTTTGCAAAAAATAATAAGCCGGATCCAATTAGAAGATTAAGGAACAACGCAATCTGCAACATTAACTGAATTATATAATTTTAGCTTAGCTTATACCGTCCGTTATACATTAAACGCGGATTTGTAAACGTATTGTGCGCATGCGCATAATACGTTTACGCGTATGCGTTTGAATCAAAATTGAATATCAGAATTGAAATCAAAAATCTTTGAAACAGATATACTTAAAACTAAAATGCAGCAGTACCTTGCATAATCTGGTTAGAGTATCCCGTACTATTTTGAAATCAAACTAATTTGAAAAACTTTATATATATAAATATATATAAAATGATTGTTCATACCCCCAAAAAATTTAGTATGGTGTATTTCAGAAAATTAAACACAGTTTTAAAATGAAATGAAAATATCTTTATTAAGGGAAAAAGAAAGAAAGGTACTATAAGGTATTTCTCCTGCTGCCTTCGTGGTGTAGTGCTCAGCATGCTCGGCACTTATTCAAGAGGTTCGACTCCCAGCGAGGGCATTGCTCATTTTTCATGACTTTGCTTAAAATAACATAATGTCTCTACAGTACTTATGTATGTATTCAGCAAATTTTGCAAAAGAAAAGGATCAATAACTTTTATTGTAAAAATAAAAAAAATATTATTGCATACATATTCTACATTTCACCTATATATTTATTTCAAATGAGTATCAATAAACCCATTAAAAACAGGTTTTAATTTTTATTGTGGTGGAAGTTTTGTAGCGATCTCTTTGAGAAAGAATTATTCTTTTAGTGACTTTGCGGAAATAATGCAGTCTTGCTGAAATTCCTCCTGAATTCCTTCTTTCTTCTATTATCAGAAAAATCTACAAGCACAAATTTTAAAATCAAGTTTAAGACAAAGAATAATCATAATTTTTCTATAAACGCTTATTAGAACTTGGAATATAGAAAAAAGAATGCATATGAAAATGATGACATTGGAAACTGAGTATTTATCATGGGCATGGTTGCCTGAATAATTGTTATGTATGTAGTTACTAGAATTTGTTGTATTCTGAAGTTTTGGCAATTTCTTCTAAGGTGGGTGCAATAATATAATATGTAAGTACCAAAAGAAAATCTGAAAGGATTCAGATTTCAGTGTTGCACCATAGGTTTTGTTAAGGTTGTTTATGTTCTTACTGAGCATCAAAAATTACCAGTCTGCTTTTGAACTCGCTTATGCTAACACTTTTTTTCTTTTAGCTTTATTATTAAGCATCCCTTCCTTCACACTTATGTCGTGCAAAATTCAACAGTAAAATTGCAAAATTTTTTAAAGCTGCATATATATGGAATTCCCGATACAGTGTTAAGTGTTGGTATACTTTTTTCTATTTTGTCAGTCTTTCCCCAGTTCATTATATCAATGTTCAGTTTTCTTAGTAAGATAACAGAACTGGTTTTTTTCTTTTTATTGTTAACTTTATTAAGTATAACATTCTTCACACTTAATGCCACATAAAATTCAGCAGCAAAATCATAAGATATGAGAAACTGTTACAGTGAAGTACAGAACAACAAATGGGTTAAAAGGATGGCACAGTAATTAAATAAAGGTGTTAAAAAACTGCACACAAACATCTTAAAACTTATTTTGCACATGAAAATGTACAATATTATTATGGCATGTTAAGAAATAATTTATAATAAAGGATTCTTAGGGAAAAAAAAAAAAAAAGAATACAGAAATATGTGACATCGCATAAAGCTATTAAAACTGCAGTGCAAAGCATCATTGCAGGTGAAAAGGCAAAAACCATAGCATGTTATAATCTAGGTAATTATGTATTATCACAACCACCTTCATAGAAATCTGAAAATTTTCAGAATGTGCCAAATTCTGGCAACAGGAATTACAAAAATTCTTCAGACTACCATACTCAAAACAATCATTCAGTCAAGCAACATCACCATTTTAGCATGCATTCTTTTTGTATTCTTGTTTCCAACAGTTTTTGTAAACATCTGATCCTATTTTTTGCATTAAACTTGATTTTAAAATATGTACTAGTGGCACTTGCCAGGAATGGAAGAAACTGTGATAAACTTTCAGCAGGAATTCAGAATTTTGCGCCAGAATTTCTAATGGAAAGGAAGAGGAAATGCATTTGGTAGATAGCCAATATTGTGAAGATTTGCACAACGCTGAGTCTATGGAGTTCTGTGAGGTTTTGTAAGCGAAAGCAAACCTGTGTATCTGAGCAGAACAGCATAAAAAAAAGAGACAAAGATTTAGAGAAGAATGTAAGTGTTTTATTTTTTAATGTATCACATAATCCTTATTTTATAATTGAAACCTGAATTTTAAATTAATAAAGTATGCAGAGTTGCCAATTCTCCCAGTTTCCTACCATACTCCTGCCAACCCAATTTACAAAATATTTTTTCCAAGTTTCTCTTGTTCTTAAAATTTCTCACTATTTTTATGTAGCTTGGCTTAATACTTCATTATTTGCATCCAGAAAAGTGACTTACAGCATCTGAAAGCACGTATTTTTTTCCCTAGATTATGTATGAAAGAAAAGAAAGTCATTTCATCATTAAGACATTATGGTGCACTTCTGCTTTGTAAGTTAGAGCACATGTCCAAAAACATCGTGTTTCAGTTCTCCAATGAGCATCTGGTGCCACTGCGTGCCTTCTGGTGTATATTAGACAATGAGCACTCGGCAAGATCAAGGTTTTTATTTGTTCGTCTTGCTGTTGAATGCTGTGTCACATGGTTTTGAGAAATTGTCTAAGAAATTATGGTCTTTTGTCCTATTTACGTCTGCAAAAATTTTTTGAAAGGCAAAAAAATCAAAAATGAAGTAGATATCAAACA